ATCCCCTTTGCTTGTTGTCCTTGAAAAGGGCCATTTTTAGCCTCTTGAGGGAGCATATAGTTTGAGTGTGTATTGACCATGCCTTGACTGATTTTCATGCCTATTATGTCATAATATAGCATTGTTGTATGTTGGTTTTGGTACACCATGCTTGCTCAGCATACATGCCTTGTAATGCCTTGTTTTAGCCTTAACATGTCCTATGCTTTGAGCCCTTATTTAAGCATGTTTAGGCCTAGCTTTGTGAAGCTTTTATGTTTGTCTTGCCATGCTTAAGGTCTGTCCTTGGCTGGTTTGGTCGACCAAGACATGCATTGCATAGTCCCTTTGCATTTTGGATTGTTAGCCTCAAGTGTGTGAGTGTGTAGTGTGTGTTGCTTGCATCATTTTCAGTGGTTTGGAACCACTTACCATGCTATTTCAGCTCTCATAAATGCTTGCATGCATGCCTTTGATGCCTCTTTGATGCCTTAAAAGCTTGTGTTGTATGCTACATGTTTAGCCTCTTTTGCGTGCTTCCATGTTTAAGCCACTTGGATACCATCTAGGTGTTCCCTTTGCATGGTCTAGGCCTACCTTGAACCTGTTTTAAGCCCTCTTGGCCTTGTGAGGCTTGGTTGGCTTGGCCATGGTTCAAGTCTCCTTGACTAGCTTCAAGTACTCGGACCAATTGCACGCTATGTTTGTCTTGGTTAAGGTGGTTTGGCACCATCATTAGCATGGTTTTCAGAGCTTACATTGCATGCCCTTAGTCCATGTTTAGTCTCTTCCAAGTGTGCTTGAGAGTTGCCTTTTGATGTTTAAGTGTCGGCCCATTAACATGTGCATGTGTGTGTGTGTGTGTGTTGGCCCTCATGTTTGAGCACTTTGGCCACTGATTTTGGCATGCTTGTGAACCATCCTAAATTAGTTTAAGTCCATCCCCTTTGCTTGATTGTGTGCTCACCCTGTATGTTTGCTTGCATACTTGCATATTCACATTGCATTGTCATGTTGTATGCTAGTTCACATACTTAGGTTGCATTGCATTTGCATGCATGCTTCACCTCTTGATCAAGCCATGATAAAGGTTGAAAGCCCTTTGATTTGTTTATGTGCATTGCATTTCATTTGAAATCAAAATGCACACTTGATGCTTTGGGCCATCATGCATGGAAATGCGTGATTGGTGGCCCGAGAATCGAGGCCCATCCTCCTTTGAGTCATAAACTATGATAAGGAGTGTGATTGGTGCATACATTGCTTGAAATATATTGCCATGCCAAGTTCTGTCCTCTGCTGCTGTCAAAACAGATTCAGGAGGAAGAATTGGCCGGCCAGCAGTTTTGAGTGCCGATCGGCAAAGAATGTTTGGCCAAGAGTTCAATTTATGGTCGATGACCACTTCAAAATGGCCAGTGATGATCCCATTCAGCCTGTGGTGTTCTAAAACACTCAGAGAAGCAACCTTGGGAGTTGTACAATTTTCAGAGAAGCAGAACAGTCAAAGCAGAGGCAACCTTGTGCATGGCGTTGGATTTCCGAGCAAACCCGAGCACGCACGCATTGGATCCTCTTCCCGAGGCCTTTACTGCTTTCTTAGCTTGGTTAATTTGCTTAATTAATTAGGTGGTCTGTAATAATTAATTAGCTTGTAGGTTAATTAATTTGTATTATTCTTTTGGTCCCTCCGAGCGAGGGTGAATTTGTAATAAGTGTGGGTGCGTGTGTGCTTGTCTTCCAACCCCCACTTCTTTCTCCTTTTTACTTGCCTATTTTGGTGGTTAGCACTAGGACATATTTACTTTAGCACACCTTATGCTATACATGCATGCATCATTCATTAGTCTTGCATGCACCAGGCTCGGCGCATCATACTAACTGCATAAGTATTTCAAATCTAACTTGAATACGTGCTACTTGTGCATTTTCACATGTCATTTATAGACTAGCCGAGCCTACTCTAGTGACATTCCGTATGCGTTGCATTAG